AGGAGCCCCTCAGTGCAGTCAAGCGTATGAAGCAGGCCCCTGAGGCCCTACAGACCCTTTTCTGCCGTGGCCTTCTTCCTGACCTTGCTCAAGCGTTCGCTTATCCGAGCAGGAACCATGTACGCCACTTTTATGACCTGGACCGTAAAAGGGGTTGTTGTTGTTGAAGGAGGCTTTGTTTTCACTGATGGAAGTGGGTTCTACACTGACATATCGTATATGAGAAGCGCTGGATGGTCTGTTGTGGTATACGACCATGGGCGCAGGAGGCTGGCCAGATACTATGGTGCAGTGACAAAAGACTTGTGCCCCTAGTGGCAAAGCGTGGAGAGGATTATGCGATGTTGATGGTCAGCAGGCAGGTTCTTGGATCATACACTGTACTCTCAGACTGCAAGGGCACGCTGGCGTACTCTCGTTCTCCTAACCTGGCAGTGGGAGCAGGCAATCCAAGAGCCAATGTGTGGAAGATGATTGCTCAGAATGAGGAGTTCCATCGGCAGGCGTTCAAGCATGTGAATGGCCATGCAACACCGACGGATGTGATTGAAGGTGTGTTGTCTGACTTTGAGTTGACGGGCGACTCCACAGCGGATGCGTTGGCGAAGAAAGGGGCTGCATACAAGATGCCAGATGCGGAGCATGTGGATGTCGTTCGTGGCTGCAGAAAGTTGCACCGTATGCTACTGCAGTACCTTGGGAGTTTTCAAGCATGGATGTATGACTACAACGCTGAGGGCCTGGACTACCATTTCCCGCTGAAGGAAGATGGGGCGCAGGAGGACCCAGGGCAGCCTTCCTTGCCCGCCATGGTGGGCAATGAGCCTTTCGGTGGATTGATACTGGAAGACGAGCTCGATGGTTTCCTGGAGCCATGGAAGGTGTCAGGCCACAGTCTAGTGGAATATCCGATGGTTGATTCGCCGCACTTTATCTTGTTCTGTTCAACGTGCTGCCAGCATTTCTGCTCTGATTCTAAGAATCATCGAGGGCTGGCCCAGAAGTGCAAGGAAAAGCACGGAGGTGGCCGCGAGGTGGAGAACCGACGGCACTTCGATAATCTCAGGCATCCACAAGCGAGACGAGCCCATGTTAGGCTCGAGTCGCCGAGATCGCCATCTGGGCCAGCACGAAACATGGTTAGAGTGACCAAGAAGTGGGAGTTAGAGTTGGGCAGCCGCTCCTTTCAGACCCCAATGAAGAAGATGAGGCTCCTGGACACTTCACGCATTCTCCTGGCACGCGGGCTCGAGTACTTTGAGGCCGTGGAGCTAGGCCGCATTCCCGAAGATGATGATGACGACCAAGAGCCGGAGTGAGTGTGCAGCCGTGGAGACGCGATCTGGTGTTTGATCCTCGGCGGCTCTGACAACTTGTTTTGCTTTCAAAGCCTGTGCCCTTGGGGCGGCAGGTTCGTTCGTCGCCAGGTGGGTGACTCCTGTCCGAACTTCTTGAGGCTGCAGCTTTGCTGGCTCTTGAATGCTCTATGTGGCGGGAGCGTCGGCCCGCTTTGCAGTGGCATGATCGTGCTGCTGTGTTTCAGCGTCCCCGTCGATTGCCACGTCGGCGGCGTTTTCCACGAGGGCTTGCAGTTCGCTGGCCTGGCGCTGAACTGGGTGTGGTGGTTGCACCAGCTCATGGCGCTTGGAGCCCTCGTGGTGCTTTTCCGCGCCCTGGAGGGCCTCGTGCGGGTGAGCACGGGCCTGGCGCGGGCCCCGTGCTCCCTGGCCGCCCGCGGCCGCGTTGAGGTAGGCACGTCCCCCACGCCCCGTCTTGGCGCTTGCAAGGTGGTCCTGGCCTTCGGGCTCCACCGTGTAGGTGCTGGGTGGGGGTTGTGAGGGCTGTACCTCCCTCCCCGTCTCTGGATCCAACCGCCCCTCGGCTTCCGCTCGCTCGCTCCTCCTCCTTCTCCTCCTCCTCCTCTTTTTCCTCCTCCTCCCCCTCCCCCTCCTCCCCCTCCTCCTCCCCTCCCGCTCCTCCTCCTCCTCCTCCTCCTCCCTCCTCCTCCTCCTCCCTCCTCCCCCTCCTCCTCCTCCTCCCTCCTCCCCCTCCTCCTCCTCTCCTCCTCCTCCTCCTCCTCCTCCTCCTCCTCATCATCATCATCATCATCATCATCATCATCCCCCTCCCTCCTCGTCCTCCTCCTCCTTTTCCTCCTCCCCCTCCTCCTCCCCTCCTCCTCCTCCTCCTCCTTTCTGTCCAGATTGGGCGGGTGGTACAGCCGGGCCGAGGTATCTCCGAGGCCGATTCGGGGGAGGGACTTTGGTCTTCGCCATGTGTTCTTGGTCGTTCTGGTGCATCCTGGGGGGGAAGGGTGCCCTGGGATGTTGGGTGTGCTTTGGGAGATGCAGGGCCCCGTGTTCTTGAGGGGCGGTTTTCTGCCCCAGGTCCGACTGCATTGGGGGGTGACCTAAATTCATGGGGGCTGAAGAGAAGGCCATTCAAAGGGGCCCCTTGTGGGCCCCTGCTGGCTCTGAGAGGGCCCCAAAGGGTCCCTTCGGGGCCCTCTTGTCTTCTCCCCGTTGAGGTCACCCCCCACTGCAGTCGACCCGCATGGTAAGGACGGGCAACCTTCCGAGGGTTACCATGGCATCCTTCCCTCCTCGGCCCTTCCTCAGCAACTTGTGTTGGCCGCGCCCCCCTCGAAAAGCTTCGAGATGGCCTTCCAAGGCCCTTGCATCCTTCTCGTGTGTCCTTATGCTGCGGGATGGCCGTACCACCCGCCCGACCAGGGCCGGCTTCTCGTCTCCCGAGTCGTTGTTGTCGACGGTCTTGTTGGGTCCGGTGGAGGGGCGAGGCAGGCCCAGTCCCCCCAACAAAAACGCCCAGTCGTGACATTTGTTTTGTTTGGCGCGAGCTCGTCGTGGCCCAAAAGGGGGTGGTGCAATAGATGTGGTGCACTTGTATTGCACATGTACTGCGCAAGAGAGTTGTTTTGCATGTTGTTGCAAGTCATGCGCTGCACGCGAATTTCCAGCACTGCATCTGCGCACCATAATGTATTGCGCACCCCAAATCTACTGCAACCCCGCAGATCGATTGCACCAGGCGGCAAGAGCAGACTGGGCAGGAGAGTTCGGAGTTGTGTTACCTCGTGTCGCCGGGGAGGCGGGGCTCCGAGGCGGGCGACTTCTGGCCAGACCGCCTGGGCAACGACCTGCCACCAGAGGCACGCAAAACGTGAACTGCAAGCAGCGATATCTTGCAAGCCGTGCGGTGCATACCCAGCTTGTGTGATCACTGTGGCGCCAGCCATGTGGTGCACTCGATGTAATGCATATGCGAGTGCAGGGCAATGCAAAGCAATACGCAGCAACGCAAAACGTTGCAAACCAGAGCAAAGAAATGCAACGCAATGCAACGCAATGCAACGCAAAGCAAAGCACGGCATAGCCTTGCAAATCAATCACATTCAATGCAAAGCAGTGGAATGCAATGCGATTGCAAAGCAGCGCGTGTGCTATTCAATGGCGCAAAGTAATACGAAGCAATGTGATTCAATCTAAGGCCATGCCAAGCATTGCAAACCAAAGCAATGCAAACCAATACGAAGCAATACGAATTTTAATCAGTGCAAAGCAATGCAAGACGATGCAAAGCAGTGCAAAAGCAGCGCCAATGCCAAGGACCGCGAAACGATGCAACGCAATGCAGAGCAACGCAAAGCACCACAGTAAACAATGCAAACCAATGCCACTCGGTGCAAACTGGTGCAGAGCAACACCAAGAAAGACCTGCAAGGCACTGGACTGCCATGCGAAGGTACTTTTGGTCAACGGCCTCGTGCAGCGGGCCCAAAGGCGTCCAGACTCTAGCCGGGCCAAGACGAGGCGGCGGAAAAGCGGAAAGGCGGAAAAGCAGGGTAGGCGCAGCCAGCGGGCGCAATGCGAAATTTAACGCAGAGCACGGACAAAAAAAAAGCATCGCGGGCCAGACGGCCACGGGGCGGCGACGGCCACCTCGCCGCCGCGACGCCGACGGGCAGGCCCAGACGGCGTCGCGGCGGCGACGGGCGGTCGCGCGGCCGCCGGGCCCGACGGCTCCTCCTCCTCCCCTCCTCCCCCTCCTCCTCCTCCTCCTCCTCCTCCTGCCCTCCTCCTCCTGCTCCTCCTCCTCCCTCCCTCTCCTCCCCTCCTCCTCCTCCTCCCTCTCCTCCTCCTCCTCCTCCTCCTCCTCGTCCTCCTCCTGCTCCTCCTCCTGCTCCTCCTCCTCCTCCGCGAGGCCCTCAGTGCGAGCATGGTCCGGGAAGCATCTGGTTCGGACGTGCGCCTGCGCCAAGGGGGGCGCACGGTGCTGGCATCTCCCCCTCTGCATCCCATGCGTGCGCGCTCCCCGTTGGCGTGTGCCCGATCAGCCCGTGTCGGTGGGCTCCCAGGAACCTCTGGCAGCTCGGCTGGCCTCCGGAGGTGCTCCGGAGCTCCCCAGGAGACGTCCATTGGCCTCTCCTTTCCCAGGGGGGTGGCGGCGCAGTCACCTTCCCACCGTGGTGGGCGGAATGCCAACGCAAGGCCGCCAAGGTTGGCGCAGAGCCCTCCGCATCGCGCTGCAGCGGGGGGGGGGCGCCGACCGCTTCGCCTCCCTTTCCCCAGGGGCAGTCCCCGGAAGTCCCGTCCCTCGCCCTCGGGGCCCGTGTTCATCTCGAGTAGTTTTTGTTGACGGTTCCAGGGCCCAGCGAGGGCCGCAAGTCGGACGGGGCTAGGACGAGGATGAATCCGTTCCGGAGGCTCCCGAAACGCTCTCAGAGCGGTCCGGAACGCTCTGAGAAGGCCGCGGCGCCCGAGACTTCCGAGACATGCTCCAGAGCATCCTGGTCTCAGAGATTCTCGAATTATCCTCACCCAGTGTTGTCCTTCTCCTCATCCTGCTCCTGCTCCTGCTCCTCCTCCTCATCATCATCATCATCCTGGCCCCCAGAGGCCGACGAGCACCAAGAACCTCCGTCCTGACATGAGATCTGTCAGTACGCGCGCACGCTCGGGCTCGCCTCCGCGGGCCCCCGCAGGCGTTCCGTCGCAGCGGGGCAGGCCGCCTCGGGGGCGGCCCCGGGCCGCGGCCGGGTGTGTGTGCACATCGGGGGCTGCTAAAGGTGGAAGGGCGCGCAGAGGGGGGTCATGTCGCAGGCCTGGAGGCTGACACCAACACCAGAATCGGCGATGTGCCTCCACCGAGGGAAGAAGATCCCGATCTCGGTGATGGTGGCAATTCTGGCTTCCAAGGTGACCGAAATATTACCACCAGCACCGAAATCTAGGATCATCTTCCTCCTGTGGAGGCAATCCCCTGTCTGTATTGGTGTTGGTGCACATTTCCAGGCCTCTAAGGTCAGGGTTAAGTCGGGCCTGTGCCTCTACAGGAGGAGAATTAAAAAAAAGTCGAAAAAAGTCGGTGGACGATTTTCGAGCATGTCTGAGCATTTTGGGAGTAGTTTTGTTGATCATTCTTTATTTTTCGCCAAAGTCCCCCTGTGGGGGGACACGCCCGACTTAGGGTAGGGGGAGGGGGGAAGGCTTCTCCGAAGCGCCCCTGCTTCCTAATTGCAAGGCGCGGGCCTCATCCGTAAATGTGAGGCCAGCGCCGTTGAGAAGCAGCCTCCTTCTGAGAAGCCCCCCTCCCTCCCCCCTACCCCCCTCGTGCACGCCGCCAACGACGCGTCCCTGGCCCCAGGTGCCCCCAGCTTGTCGCTGCATCCTGGAGCCCCTGCAGGGCCCCTCAGGGGCCTCGAGAGGGGTGCCCCAGAGGCCGCGATCGGACGGGGCTAGGACGAAGACAGATCCTTGGCATCGTTCGGACGTGTGCATTTTTTTCCTCGGAGGGGACCATCGAGGAGCATCCTTGATCAGTTGGCGAAAAAACCACGCACGAAACCGAAAAAAGCACAGAGAATGGACGTCCGAGCGATGGCGAGGATCCCTTCCGGAGCGTCCCAGAACGCTCTCAGAGCGTGCCAGAGCGCTCCGAGAAGGCCGCGGCGCCGGGGACAGCCTCCAGAGCCGCCCGATCTCAGAGATTCTCGATCCGTCTTCACACGATTTGATCCTCGGACGACGACGACGACGACGACGGCGGCGACGGCGACGACGACGACGACGACGACGGCGGCGGCGGCGGCGGCGGCGGCGGCGGCGGCAGCGGGGGCGGCGGCGGCGGCGGCGGCGGCGAACGCTTCGGGGACTCCGAGAGGCAGCGGCAAAGGGAGGCGGTCTCACGGGGGGGGGACCCATCGACCCGGAAGGCGACGATGCAGCGCCGACGTCTCGTGCGGAGGGGGCCGCCCTGGGAAGTGCTGGGGGCACCGTCGGCTGGGCGCTCTCCCATTAGCAGCGGCCGGGCACCGAGCGCGCGTCCCGGCCAGAGCGGCCGCGCGCCCCGCCGGCCATGGGGCGGGGCGGCCTGCAGGGCGATGAGATGTCCGTGAAGCGCCGCGGTTGGTGCTGGGCCCCCACCGGGTCGGGATCGGAGGCGACGATAATCAGCCACGCGCGGGGGGGGGGGTCACCACCCACCAGGCCACCCCAACCCTGCCGTATCCCTGTCCCTAAGATTGACACGCCAAACAGCGATGACAATCTCAGGTATGCGCCCTCAAAAAATAAAGGGAATTCCTAAGACTGACATCGTGATGAGGAGATGCCCAGCATTGGGATAGGGATATGTTCCAGGCTGGTAATAGTCAGCCACGCGCGGGGGGGGGTGGTCACCACCCACCAGGCCACCTCAACCCCACCCGAAGGCCCAAGTGTACCCATCGATGTCCAATCGGGGGGGCCAGGGAGCAGCGACGAACAGCCCATGCGGAACCCATCCCCCCAAACCCAGAATTTTCGGTTTTCGGGTCGGGTTGGGGTGGTCTGGTAGGTCGTCTGGTAGGCTTCTTAGAAGCACCTCTGCCTCTTAGGAGGCGCGGGCCTTGTCTGTAGATGTGAGGTCTGCGCCCTGGAAGAAGCAGCCTCCTTCTGAGGAGCCTTCCCCCCTCCCGTCCCCGTGCACTCTTTGTACGCGCCGCCAAGATGAGGGCGCGTAGCCTGGGGGCGGACATTACACGTATTCGCCGCGGAGCCTCGCCGAAGGTACGGACCATTTGCACTCTTGGATGCATGTATGGCTCTCCATTTTTTGCGCATTCAACCTTGAACGCCCGTTGGGGTAATTATGCACATGTCCTCCTCTTCCTCCTACTCCACCTCCTCCACCTCCTCCCCCTCCTTCTCCTCCTCCGCCTCCTCCTCCTCCCCCTCCTTCTCCCCCTGCTCCTCCTGACGATGAGGCGGGACAGAAGAAACATAATAAGCTCGCAACAACGAGAGAGGGCGCAGATCTATGAAAAATATGAGACGTGGAGGAGAAGACGAACATCTAGGAAATACGGGGACATATTGTGAATCCCGGCATTTGTCTAGATTTTGTGTGTGTGTGTGCCCCTGGGCCCCTTCAAGACAGCTCCCCTCGCCCCGCCTCGGCGCGCCCCCTCCGGCGCGCCTCCAACATCCTCAAAAGGGCGACTCTCTCCTTACGGGTTGGGTCTGGTTCGCTTCCGCCAGCGACCCGGTAGGTCCGCGATCATGGTCGGCGGCGAGCTTGGGGGGGGAGTGAGAGAAGAAGAAGAAGAAGAAGAAAAATAATAAAGAGAAGAAGAAGAATAACAAAACGCCATAATCATCAACGTTTGGCGCTCCGCGCGGATTTCTTGGATGCGCGCTAGGCCCCCCCAGCCGCCTTCACAGTTGCAGAGCACTTCTCAGAAGGCGCGAGGGCTTCTGAGAAGTCCCGCCGCCTGCCGGGCAGCCATGCAGAACCAGGAGGCCCATGCACGGGCACACGGCAGCCCCCGGGGGGCAAAACGAGGACGACCCGCATGGGCGACGCCACATGGACGGGGTCTTGTGCGCCGACACTGGCGCGTAAGATGTCCGCATAGGCTCGCGCATCAGGGCCCTCGCTACAAATGTGGCGTGCTGCGCGGGCGACCCGCGCAAACTACGGCGCACGGTCGCTGCGCCATCTCGCGTAAGACCCGTTTGTTGATCGTCGTTCAGTTGGAGTTCCCCTGATGACTAGGGGGGGTGGATATCATGGCGGGGGCCATGATATTCCCTGATTTCATGGCGCCTCTTCTTATTTCATTACGTCCCTGGCCCCCCCGCTGGGCCGCGCACATGCCGCCGGTCATGATTTGCACCCCCCCCTCTTGGACACCCCCTCTTTGCCGCCCCCGATATTGCGATGTAGCAGAGATCGGCTCGCGTGCGATCACACGCAAAAGCTTGAACCGGATTTGGCATCGCGCTTGGGCCGAGTCTGTTTCACCGTGCTTGAGCCGAGCATCGCTGCCAGTGCAGCGCGTGAGTGCACCGTTCCTCTGGCCGGGGGGTCTCTGTCTGGCTGCTCCTGAGCAGCCGGGCCTCAAGGCGGGCTGACGCGTCACTCCACAGGAGGAACATTCGGAGATAGTCAAAGAATAGCCTGGGGACGATGGTTTCTCATAAAAAAAGGCTCAGTTTTGAGCATTCTTGTTTACTGTTTGTTAATTTTTCTTCATCCAAGATCCGCCTGTAGGGGGACATGCCCGACCGAAGCCTGGCCCTCGGGGCTGCCAGCACCGACCGCGGGCGAAGAAGCACCTGAAGGTGTTTGCCGGCGGGCTGCCGAACTCCGTGTCGGAGCGGCACCTGGGGGACCACTTCGCGCGGCACTCACGGGACAACACATCGACGTGAGCACAATTTGCTGGAGGTCCGCGCAGGTGAGCGTTGTCTTACGCATCGTTTTTCCGATCGGCGCGAGCCCTCGCACCCCCCCTTTCTCCCCCCATGCATATATATATATATATATATATACACATATATATAAGTAATATATATATATATATATATGTGTATCTTGGATCTTGGCTGTTTTTGCGCCTGTTTCGAGCAGGCGGAGTCTCCCCCATGCGACGCATTGATGCAAATGTGCAGACAGTCGCAGTAAGCCGATGTCCGAAAGAGCGTGCTCTTCCGCTGCTGGCAACCCGTCCGGCCCCCCCCTCTTCAAAACCGGGTTCTTGTGTCGGCGCGACGCTGGCAATTCCATATGTGATATGTCATTCGATACATTCAGATTGTGGCATTGAGGGCGGTTTCTCTCGGGCGTTCGGGGTCGTGCGCCCTCGTCGCGAACCCCGCTGGGAGCCGCCTCGCTGCTGGCCCCTCGCCTCCCGTCCGGGAGGGTTTTCGACTCCTGCGAAGATTCCGGTGGGCTGCGAGGCTGCCGGGGCCGATCCGTGAGAGGGCGATCATACGAGTCGCATCCCCCAAGCTGGCTGTTCATCTGCATTCATGTTGTCTGGAGCCAGCTCAGTGGGGTCTTACCTTACCTTCAAAACCGGGGGGGTGTTTTTGGGTTCAGCCCCCTTCCCCCCCCCCGTCCATCATGAAAAGGGGGGTCACTACCGGTTTGAACCCCTCCCCCCCCCTCCTGGAAAACCGGCGGGGGTCACTACCGATTCGAACCCCCCCCCCTCCCCCCCTTCCCCCCTCGCCGCAACGACACCCCCTCCTCACCCACTCCGGATGGGGGACTGCTGGCGGGGACAGTTGTTGGGAGGGTGGTGTGGACGGTGGTGGGGAGTGGGGACAGCGGGGAGAGTGTGACCGTGGTGGGGGCCGTGGTGGGAACAGTGGGGCAGTGCGACAAAGGTGGGGGCACTGGCGGGGACAGTGGGGACAGTGGGACAGTGGTGGGGACAATGGGGACAGTTGGACAGTTGTGGTGACGGTGGTGGTGGGGACTGGTGGGGCAGTGGTGGGGACGGCGATGGTGGGGACAGTGGTGAGGGTGGTGGTTAGGACGGTGGTGGGACAGTGGTACAGTGGGGTGAGTGGGTTGGACAGGGGACAGTGGGACAGTGGTGGTGACCGTGTGGACAGTGGGGCAGCACAGTGGGACAGTGGTGGGAACAGTGGGACAGTGGTGGGGACAGTGGTACAGTGGGGAGAGTGGTGGGGATAGAGTTGGGACAGTGGGGAGAGTGGGATCGTGGTGGGGACAGTAGTGGGGACAATGGACACAGTGCGACAGTGGTGGGGGCACTGGTGGGGAAAGTGGGGACAGTGGTGGGGACAGTTGGGGGAGACGGTGGTGGTGGGGACAGTGGTGAGGGCGGTGGGAGGACGGTGGTGGGGCCCCGGAGTCGTTTGCCAGCGGCGACGGGGGAGGAGGGGGGGGGGGTCGATCCGGTAGCCCCCCGGTTTTCTGGCGGGGGGGGGGGGTTCGAACCAGTAGTGGCCCCCCCGGCCAGAAGACCCCGGGGGGGGGGAGGGGTTGGGGGGGGGGAAGGGGTTAGAGGGGGGTTAGGGGTTTCCCGAGAAGGGGTGGGGCAGGGGTTGGGGGGGGGAGAGTTTTGCCGGAGCAAGGGGGGGGGGGGAAGGGGGGGGGTTCGAGCAGGGGGGGGGATTTTCGGGGGGGGGGGGACCCCGGGCTTCGGAGGAAGGGGGGGGGGGATTTTCTAAGTAGGGCGACGGTGGATCACGCTCTCTCCGAGGTCCGGAGCCAGACCCCCTCCCCTTCCCCCCCCCGTTCCGCCCGATGTCGAACCCCCCCCCCACTTGGCGGCCTCGCGCGGGGGGAGGGGGCCTCTCCTCAATCGCGAACTGGCGACTGAGAAGAGGCCCCCCTCTTCCTCAATCGCCAGTTCGCGATTGACAGACATCCCCCCTCCCTCCATCTGACAAAATGCCGGTGCCGCCTCTTCGCTCCTCGCGCGGGGGGGGGGGGGGAATGGGGCCGGGCGCCGACCCCAGAAGCCTGGGCGGGCCTCGGATCTGGACGCCCGAAATGGGTACTGAAAGAATGGGTACTATGCCCAACAGCAGTTGCTGTTCATTTTGAACAAGATCCGCTGTCCACGCCGCCGCGGCCTGTGTCCATTCGAGACAGGAGGCCGCCTGCCCAACAGCGGCCGCTGTTGGTTTGGGACAGCATTTGCTGTTGGGCATCGTACCCATTTTTTCGGTACCCATTTCGGGCGTCCAAATCGGACGGGTGTCGTGCTCGTGCCGTCTGAGGGGCCCTGGAGTCGTGGACGGCGGTCCATGGAGAGGCGGCCTGTTGCCAAACAGTTCCCAGGTGTTTTAAGCATGCAAAATCATGTTAAAGACATGTTTAGAAGATGGTTCAAACATTGTTCAACACGTTTGCGATCCAGTGGTAGGATTGATGGAGTGTCCATGCTCATGGCATCCCCAACCCTGGAGGTACGGGCAGATCGTGGCCGTGAACACCGTGGCCCCGAAGGAGGACGGCAAGGCGATGTTCGGCTTCGTGACCTTCAAGTACGCCGCGGACGCGGACTGCGCCGTCGTGGACCCGCAGCACTTCTCGGGCGTCTCGAGGCCACTCGAAATGGGCTTCGCGCGGAAGAAAGGCAAGGACCAGGCCAACCCTGCCGTGGCCGACGCCGACGCCTGCAAGGTGCCCGTTCCCCTCAGAGGAGGGCGAGTTGAGACAATGGCAGTCGGGCCTTCGGGGGCTCTCTCGTCGCCGCAGCTGGACGCCGCTCGGAGAACTTGTGCGTTTGGACCCCGGGAGGGGTCCGAGGACTGACTTTGAGCCGCCACTGTCTCAACTCGCCAGTCTCGGATGCCTCCTCTCCGCCGTTCCACCTCGTGGGCGGGCAGACGCGTGCATAACTCTGCACCCGCGCCCTCAAGTGCTGGACGCCTTGGCCGCGGCCCCATGGATGCAGGGGTGCTTTCTGCGGACGCCCCGTGCGGAACGCATCCGTGGGATTGCGCATCCACGGAATGGCGCCTCGGGATCCGGACCGCCACGGCATGGATGTGAAGGATTCTCGACGTTCTGCGTAGTACCACCAGCCCACTCGACAACATCCGCCAGTCGAGATACCCTGCTCGGGGATGTATAGCAGCATTCGGCCCATCAGTGAGTCGCATTCGTGATCCCTGGTGGTTGCAAGAACCAGGAGGTAGAAGGCGAGGAAGAGTGAGGATGGAGGAGGCTGAAGAGGAACATCTGCACATGGCGTAGAAGGACAAATGCGGGCTGTAGGAAAGGGAAGCGTGCGAGAGTTGAAGGTGGGAGTCGGACATGGGGCAAGGGGCGAGGGTTGCGAGTGAGTGGAGAGAGAGAGAGAGAGATAGGGACAGGGATACATGCATACGTATATATATATATATATATACATGTATATGTATATGTATTTATATGTGTAAATATATACACGAACGACGGGGACGCGAGGCTGAGTGCGCGGGAAGACCCAGGAGCACGACTTGCCAGAACGGAAGACCACACGAAAACGGCTGACCAGCACGGCAGATCGCAGGATCGTGGCAAGCTAGCACGGTAGAGCACAGATGCACAGCACATGAGTCTGGCTTACCACGGAAGACCAGCACGGCAGATCGCAGGTTCGTGGCAACCTAGCGCAGTTGAGCACATACGCACAGCATATGAGTCATAACTCGGCTTACCGCAGGAGCAGGTGCTATATCTCTTTCCAACCGTGTTGTAATACAGCTGCCTACATGCAACCTATGACACTTTCGTCACCACACTCCCTGTTGTATGTTTGTATCCAGGCGTTCTATGACTATGCGCCTCCAGACGTGTGGTGGCAGATGTGTCTCCAAACGTTATCTGATCTATAAGTATCCGAATGGTATGTTGTACATGTGTCACTCTGCCTCTTGTGTCGATTCGACGTAGCATCATATGGCACGCGTGTCGTGGTTGCTGCGTCTGCGTGCATCCTGTTGCATGTACGTGAACAATGCGACCTGTAGCGCAGTGCCCTCCAGAGGGCTTATGGTATAGTGGCGCGCACGTCCGATGATACAAGCAAATCCACATGCGATGGACAAACCGTATGTCTTGATCAGACAATTGCATGAACGTGCAGTGCAGCACACCCATGGGCAGCCTTAAATCTCCGTCGGATGAGGAGGCGGAGGGATGGCAAGGCATGAGGAGAGAGGGAGGGTGGATAATGATGAGAAGGGGAAGCTGAGGAGGAGGAGGATAAGGAGGGGGGAACAGAGGTAAGATGATACGTAAACGACGACGAAGCAGACCACGTCGACGACGACGACGACCACATACCACGACGACGACGACGAGGACGACAACGACCAAGACTACGACCACGACCACGACGACGACATGAGTCAATTTCGAGACCTTTGCGAGCTTTCGCTTCTCCTGAATTCTGTATGGAATTTGGCCTCTCGGGGGCCTCCGTGGGAGGCTCGGACAGGGCACTCGGAGCCGCCTTGGAGCGGCCTTGGGGCCTCTTGGAGTCACGGTGGAAGCTATTGAATGGCCTTCGGCCTGTCCCGCCGCTGGCGAACAAACAACACACACCCATACCCATAGGTAGGACGGAGAGAGCTATGGGTGCGTGTCGTCGGGGAGGGGGCCCCCGTTCGAACGGGAGCCTCCCCTGGGGCCCGACAACCCGCACCCATATGCACAGCCAGTCCTCATCCCTCCTACATCCCCTGTGGGTATGGGTGCGTGTTGCTCGTTCGTCAGCCGCAGTGTCTGGATTGTGGGTTAGAGTCCTCAGGGATCCTTATTTGGGTTTCTTTTGAGCGTTCTCGGGGGCCTTTTGTGGAAAGCTCTGGGGCCGTTTGAGAGCAGTTTGGGAGCCTCTTGGGGGCCTCTCGGGGGCCTCTTGGGGCCTCCTGGGGCCTCTTGGGGCCTGTTTGGGGCCTCGCGTCTGAGAGCCCTTCGGCGCTGAGGGTTCGAAATGTCCATTTGGGTGGGCCGAATTGGAGGACTTTTGAGCTGTCTTGGGGCCTTCTGGGGCAAGTTTTGGAGCCCTCTTGGGGGCCTCTTGGGCCGTCTTGGGGCGATGTTGGGGGCCTGTTCAGCGCGTCCTGGAGCGCTGGGACGCCGAAAAGGCGAGAAAGCCACACACAAACACAAACACAAACACAAACACAAACACAAACACAAACACAAACACAAAAACAGACACACACACACACACACAGTTCGACAAAAACCGTATGGAAATCAATGACGCGAGCCTTTCGGGGTGGGGAAGGCCCTCGCAGGCCGCCGGAGACATACTGGGTGCTTTTTGCGGCCGACTGGAGGCCATCCTGGGCGTCTCGGACGCATTGATTGCCAAATTCGGAGCCCTCTCGCGCCGTCTGGGGAGCCTCTCGGGTCCCTCCTGGCCCGTCGCGGGGCCCTCCAGGGCCCGGGGCCCCCACAAGGCCGTGCGGCAAGACGCGACGCTTGGGAAGCCCAGAGGTCGAGCGCTCTCGCTGAAGCTCTCACGCCCAGAGGGGGCCGGTGGGAAGCTGGGACGCACGCCCCCGACGTCATGATTGTTGCTGGTAACTCAGGAGGGGAAAAGCACAGGCACAATTAACCGTCGCTTCCCCAGAAAATGTTCGAAGTGGGGGGGGGAGGACGAAAACCCAGAAAATATGGGGAAATATCCGGGGTCCTGTGATTCGCTTCTATTTATTTGTGTATCCCAGAGCCCCTTCAGTGACCGTCGACCCCCAGAGGTCTCGAGGGGGTCCAGGGGGGAGGGGGGGAGAGCATTAGGTTAGGCGGGGAAGGACGGGTTGGGCGCGCGGGAGGTGTTCGTGGGCGGCATCGGCGACAGGGACAGCGAGGAGGACGTCGGCGACTTCTTCTCGCAGTGGGCCGGCCGGGGTTTCGGGGCACGTCCACGGGGCGTTGCGAGGAGGGGGCGGCGGGGGTTCGGTTCGGCGGCGAGCCCAGGGGGGAACGTGAGGAGGGACAGGCCTTCCCAAACGGCAGAGGGGCTGCTCAAAAGCCCTCGCGCCTTCGGAGAAGTTTTCGAGGCTTGCTCCTAAACAGGGCGGCTTCTCAGAAGGCCGGAGGGCTTCTGAGAAGCCCTGCCGCCTGCTGAGGAGGCCTGCCTCCTCTCGCTTCCCCCCGGGCTCGCCGCCAATCGGCGGCCCCCAGCCGCGCGGGGGAGGCGGGGTAGGCGGGGGAGCAGGAGGGACAAGGGGAGAGGAGAGGAAGGAGAGGAGAGGAGAAGAGAGGGACAGAGAGAGAGAGGGAGAAAGAGAGAGAGAGAGAGAGGGAGAGAGACTGGTCCGACCGCTGCGGTTACACAAGGGCCGCGCACGGCTCGCCCCACGGGAGCCAAACCCTTACGCACGAAAGCAGAGGCTCCAGGGGCTCCAGGCGTGTAAGCGACGCGAGGACGCGCGACAGATGAGCGGTACCCAGCAGGCGGCCACGGTGCAGCGCCATGGTGCGGCGAGCGGTCGCGCGGGGTGCAGGATAGTGTTCGTGGGGCGCACTTGGAGCGCACAGGGCAGCTGAGAGGGCCCTCCCTGGGCGGCCACGGCAGCAAACAAGTTGAGCCTGGTGTACCCCTTCATTCCGGTTTTGGCGTCGATTCGCGTCGATTCGCGTCTTGGAGTCGATGAGATGGCGCCGATTCAGCGTCGGTTGGCGTCGATGTTACATCGATTCGCGCCGACTAGTGTCGACCCGCGTCGGTTCGCAAGAGCCGACCAGAGGGTAGGGAAGACTTCCGGGAGTGGCCGCCGAAGGCGGCTGGCCTCGCCCAGGGGGAGCAGCCGTGGCAGAGAGCATCGGGGTGCGGCGGGGGGCCTCGCGGCCGCGCGCCTGGCTGGTGGTGCTGTCGGCGGCCGGCGCGGCTGCCATCAACACGACAGTACATCGGAGGGCACCAACTATACACCAGCACCGATCCTGGCCCAGGATCACCCTGGGCCCAGGATCGGTGTATATGCCTTCTTGCGCAAGGCAGGAGGGCGTATACACCGATCCTGGGCCCAGGGTGATCCTGGGCCAGGATCGGTGTTGGTGTATAGTTGGTGCCTTCCTAGTACATCCATTGCCGTCTTGATGGCAACTCTGCGAACGCCGATTGGGCCCACGCGCTGAACAACAGAAAACGCCCCGAGGCACGCCTCCCAGTGGAGTCGGCAGTGCGGCAGCGGCACGCCGGCCCTGGCCCGACGGCGTCCCGGGCGGCCCAGAGCGAAGCAGGGCGTCGCTGGGCGGCGGCGAGGCGGGATCGGCGCCCGAGGGCGGCCGGTCGCGTGGGCGGTGGCGCAGGGCTCGGCGCCGTCGCGGCCGCAGCAGTGAGACGAGGTGGTCGGTGAGGGCTGCGTGCAATACCTCTGTCCACATCCCCTGCGGCGTGGAGTTTCGGGCTCCCTCCCCTCCTCCCCAGCACCCCGCGGAAGCATTTGCCTCCCAGAGGCTCGATCCTTGTCCACATCCAGGGCGCCTTGGCCTTGCGGCGCCCCTCCCCGGAGAGTTCAAGACGCACCAGACATGGAGATATACAGATATTGCCGCAGGGGCCCTCCGCAGGTCCCGAAGGACCGCGGAGGTCCTGGGGACGGGCGAAGGGTGGTCTCACCGGCGCGGCTGGCCCGCGCGGCCGGGCTTCGAGGGGGGCGCCTCCGGTCGGCAGGTGCGGGCGCCTTGGCGGGCCGATCCGTCGCGGAGGCAGAGAGAGAGAGAGAGACGGACAGGCAGAGAGCCACAGACAGACCGAGACAGACAGAGAGGCAGACAGACGCTCGGGGTCCCACGTGGCCGGTCCGCCGGCTGGCCACGCCCCACGGGCTCACCCCAGCCGTGCTTGGGGAAGGAAGGAGGCCATGGCACGGACCGCTGCGCGGTGCCCCAGCGCAGTGGCTCGGCCGCGCTGTGCCTGGGGCTCAGGCTTGAGTCGGGCACACCCCTCTAGATCAGGAGCAATCAGAAGTCGTTCTTTGAAGTGTTTTTACTATTGATTGTTTTTTGACTCTTATTTGTTTTGCCGATGTTGTTTTTTGGCTATTGTTTTTGTTGGCGATGCTGCTTTTAGACGATGTTGTCTTTTGACTAGTGCTTGTTTTTTGATGATTGTTGTCCCTCTAGGCTGGGGGCGATGTTGTTTTGTGCCTGCTGCAAGCCGCGGCGCTGCGCGGGCGCCTGGTGCTGCGCCCGGGGCCGCCGGGCTAGCGGCCTGCGCATGGGCCGCGTGCCGCCCCGCCCCCCCCCCCTCCCCCCCCTCCTCGTCTGCTGCTCTCCGCCGCTGGGCTTCTTCGATGGGTAAAAAAAAAGTGCCTGCTGCAGGCCGCCTGCAGGGCTCTGGCGTGCCCGACCGAAGCCGCAGGCCAGGCTGCACCGGTGCGAGCGCGGGGGGTCTGCAGGAGGCTGCGCGTGCCGGGCCCGCGGCAGGGCCGAGGGCAGCGGCGGGGCGGGGCGGCCGAGGGCAGGGCGGGGCGGGCAGGGCAGGGCAGGGCAGGGCAGGGCACGCAGAAAGTCAGGTGGGGGGAGGAGGAGGAGGAGGAGGAGGAGGAGGAGGAGGAGGAGGAGGAGGAGGAGGAGGAGGAGGGAAGGAGGCACGAGGAGGGAGGCATCCCAGGAGGAGCCTCCCCTCAGTGGGAGGAGCAGCGGGGGGGGGAGGAGGGCGAGTACCACGTAATGCCCTCCTCCTTGCACACTCTTCCCCCGTCGACCCGCATCCCTCGCCTGTTCTCCCCGCCCATCCGAGCCCGCGGGCGCGCGAGGTTTCGAAACCTGCGAGCCCCAGCACCAGAGATGATGAATAGGTGAAGCAGTCAGACTTTTCTGCTCTCTCTCTCTCTCTTTCTCTCTTTGTGTGTTTTTTTTTGTTCTCTCTCTCTCTATATATATTTATCTCTCTCTTCTCTCTTCCTATACATATATATGTGTGTATATATATATATGTATCCGTCTGTCCCCCCTCCATCCCTCCCATTCCCGCCCCTCCCTCCTATCCCACTGCCCGCTGCCACTTGTCCCTTTCCCCTTTGCATCCATTTCCCTCCACGTATCCATACATCGACATTTCTCCTTTCCCCCCCCTCCTCCCGAATTGCTTCCCCCCCCCTGCCAAGCTATCATTCCTCCTCATTTCCTCGGCCCCCCCCCATGTCTCCCACCTAACCTCACCCCTCCCATTCCTTCGCCTCCACTCCCACTCTCCCTCCCGAGTTCGCTCATGAGCACGGATACCGGCACGCGACGTGGGCTTCCCTGAGAGGCGACGCTGCGAAACACAGTGCAGAGTCGCGAGAGAGCACGACCGGAGCCCTAGTCCCCATCGCTCCGCTGCGCTTCTGTAGAGCCACTCCGTGAGGGCCCCGGGGCCCGAAGCCGAGCAGAGCCACCCGTTGTGAACCAAACGCGACGTCAGAATCTCGGGGGTGCCCTCGTCTCACAGGTGGGGCCTCGTGACGCTGATATACCGCGACCGGGACGGCTGGAGCTTCGTCCACTACGCCACCAAGGAGGGGGCGAAGAGGCTCCTGGAGGAGACCACCGTCGTCTACCAGCGGAGGCGCCTCGACGTCAAGCCGAGCGAGTCGAAGAAGGTGATGGGCGACGACGAGAAGGATTCGGATGCGACTCCTGGGAGGTAAAATTCTGACTTTGCCCTTAGTCCGAAGTCCGGCTTTCTCCCGCTGGCTCAATCCCGCTCAATCTGCCGCCTCATCCGGCTGCGGGGTTCAATCCTCTTTCACAATCCTTCCGACGAAGACCTCCCATCTTCCTGAGCAGGACGACCTCGTCCGCCGAGCCATCGCCCGACACTTCCACAAGAAGGGCCAGCCCGCCCTGCCGCCGGCCGGGTACTACCCGCCCCCCGGCGGCTACCCCCCGCCGGCCTACCCGGGCTACCCGCCGCCTCAGGCCTCGAGAGGAGGGGAAGAGATGCCGAGACCGCTGCCGCCAGCCTTCCCTCGTCGCCACGGCAGGCTTCGCCTCGAGATCCCGGGCAAAACGCACCCTGGGAGGGGTCCAGAGCAGAGGCATCGGTACCTCTCTTGTGTCCCCCGCAGGCGTCCTACCCCCCGCCTCAGCAGGGCGGCTACCCCCCTCCGGCCTACCCAGGCTACCCCCCGCAGCCGCAGCAGGGCGGCTACCCCCCGCCGCAGCCGCAGGGCGGGTACCCGCCGCCTGCTCAGCAGGGAGGGTATCCGCCGCCGCAGCAGCAGGGAGGGTACCCGCCGCCGCAGCAGCAGGGCGGCTACCCCCCGCCGCAGCAGCAGGGCGGGTACCCGCCGCCTGCTCAGCAGGGAGGGTATGCGCCGCCGCAGGGCGACCCCTACGGCCAGCCCCACCAGCAGGCTCGCAGGGGCACCTTGCCCTCGTCCTCGCCGGCCCCCCCTCCCTCGTGGCTCCCCTCTCGACGCCTGCTTCCCCGCCCATCCTTCCCTCTCTGCCCGCTCCCGCGTCGTCCTCCCCTTCTCTCCCCTCCCTCCCCCTCCTCCCGTCCCTTCTCCCTCCTCCCTCCTGCTCCTTCTCCTCCCCCCTCTTCGTCCTCCCCCTCCCCGCCTCCCTTCCCTCGCCCTCCTCCTCTCCCTCACATGGATGTAGTGAGGGGTCGGTGACTTGCCGAGTCGACGAGTCGAACGCGGCAGCGTCAGCTGCTGGCCAGAGAAGCCGTGTCTCTCTCTGGACACCCTCCGCGAAGCGAAGGTCCACGAAGGCCTTACCCCCCTTCCGTCGGAGGAGGCCCGAGAAGGGCCACGGCGCCCGAGCACCTCGCGCGGGTGGTACTGAGGGTGACTCCACGGCCCCTTTTTTTGCCACTTGGTGCCCAAAAGGGGCCCTTCGGGCCCCCTTCAGGGATCTTTTCTTCACACCCCACTTGGGTCACCCCCCCCCTTACCACCCGCCCGAACACCTGGACCCTCGCACCTCGATGTTCCCGAGGCGGGGCCCCGCCGCCAAAGTCGCAGGCGTCGACGTCGGCGACGACCTCGACGACGAGGAAGACGACGACGAAGACGACGCACAAGACGAGGACGAAGACGACGAACGCGAACACGAACACGAAGGCGGCGGCGGCCACGACGACGACGACGCCGACGACGACGACGATGACGACGACGACACAGACGACGAGGGCGTCACCGACGTCGCCCTCGACGGCGCCGACGACGATCAGGGCAGTCGAAGTGGGGGGGGATCGGTTCTCCGAACCAATGTCGGGCGTCCAAACTTGTGCGGCCCGCCTCCCTTCGCCCACGGCGAAGACGGCGCCGAGGCGGCGGCGAAGCCCACCCTGCCTCGCCCACGCTCAATGGAGGAAAAAGCACCCAAACTCCGATAATTGGCGTTTACGAACCAACCCTTGGCGTTCACGAGGCAGCCCCGCCCTGCTCGATTCCTTCCCTGGGCGCGTTTACTGAACGGCTTCGCTTGTCGGGGAGCTCAGTACCGTGGTGGGTGTTCTGCCCTCTGCGCGCCGCGGCGCCGACGTCCCACGCCCTCGCCGCCCTCACGGCCACGGGCGGACGACCCGAGCCGCCCGCCGGCCCGTGCTTGGCATCGTTCGGACGCGTTTTTTGTTGTTGTTGTTTGTTTTCTGTGTTTTTCTCGGCGGGGATCATTGGGGCGCCGCCTGGAGCGTGTTTTTTTGATTGCCTGGGCCATGACGCGCGTTGTGGCCCCCACCTCCCCATAACGTCACGCTCCGGCCCCCAGTGCGCCCCCGGCACTGCCGCCGTGCGCATAGGGAACCCTATGCGCACGGCGGGAGTGCCGGGTGCGCATAGGGGCACGATGACGACGACGACGACGACGAGGATGGAGGAGGGAGGTACGGAGCAGACCTCTTATGCGCCATGTGGAGGCAACGACGCCTTCGCAGGCATGTGCTCGCCACAACTCCTCCTCGTCGTCGTCGTTGTCGTCGTCGTCGTCGTCGTCGTGGTGGTCGTTTCGTCGTCGTCGCTGGTCGTCGTCGTCGTCGTCGTCGCTTGTCGTCGTCGCTCTTCGTTGTCCGTCGTCGTTATCGTCGTTGTCATCGTCGTCATCGTCGTCATCGTCGTCGTGGTCTTTGTCGTCGTCGTCATCTTCGTCGTCGTTGTCGTCGGCCGTCGGTCGTCATCCCTCGCGGTCGCTCGTCGTTGTCAAACGCCTTCGGATGTTTTCGAGAGCCTCTGGAGGCCCTCGGATGACTAGGCCTCAGGCGGTCTCCAGAGGCATCGGGAAACTTTCGGATACCACCAGAGGCGTCGCTCGTCGGCGTCGCCGTCGACGTCGTCGTCGTCGTCTCTCGTCGTCGTCGTCGTCGTGGTCGCTCGTCGTCGTCGTCGTGGTGGTTGTCGTCGTAGTCGTCGCTCGTCGTCGTCGTGGTCGTGGTCTTTGTCGTCGTCGTCGCCGTCGTCGTCGTCGTCATCGTCGTGGTCTCTCGTCGTCGTCGTCGTCGTCGTGGTCTCGTCGTCGTCGTCGTTGTCGTCGTCGTCGTCGTCGTCGTCGTCGCTGTCGTCGTCGTCACGGTCGTCGCTTGTCGTCGTCGTCGTGCGCGCGGACGCTGTGGTGGCGCCAGAACCGCACGGCGAGGGGGGGGGGCGATACGTTATACCACCCCCGTGGCCCCCCCCTTCCCAAAACGCCCAGTATCGCCGCAAATACAGAAACGCGTCCCTGGATCATCCATCCGGCAGCAAGACACAAACACGCACGAAGCAAACAGATGCACGGGGAAGGGACGTCCGAGCGAAGGCAACCTAGGGGTCCGCACCGTTCTGGAGGAATGCACAGAAATAGTCACAAAAATACTTTCCCCAATATTTTTGGACATGTTGGGGTTATTTGTGGACTATTTGTAACTTTTCATCCAAAATCCGCCGCAGGGGGACACGCCCGACCTAACACCAGGCAGGCCCGACCCGCCCGCCGCCCCTGCGGGCCCGCACCCCTCCGGAGGTTGTCCGAACCCGTGGGTCCCGTGCGGCCTGCCCTGCTGGGTATACACCCCCACCAGGCAAGCCGTAGGCATAGGGATAAGTCGGACGGGGCTCGGAGGGGGACTCGAAGCCGAGAACAAAAAAGCATAAACATAGACTGGTGGCGCTTTGCGCGGATGTAGTTTTTGGTTGTGTTTTTTGGTGTTGTTTTTTCTTCCAGGGGTCACAGAGATCCGTCCCAGAGCGTTGCGGAGCGCCCGGGGAGCGTTCCGGGACGCTCGGAGAAGGCCGCGGCGGACAAGACAGCCTCCAGAGCCGCTGGATCTCCGAGGCAGCCTCCAGAGCCGCCGGAGCTCTGGGGTTCTCGACCTGTCCCCGCCCGATCTGCTCCGTGAGGGCTTCGCCCCCGGACGCCAGCCCCGTCTCTATCATTGGGCGCCGCGTAATGGGGGGGTCATAAATGGGGGGGTGGCGAGGGTGGTTCGAAAGTGTACCCAAACGGTACCTAAACGAACCCCCTGGGGCTCTGGAGGGGCCCGAAGGGGGCACGAAAGGTGACCTTTTCTGATCCCCCCGTTTGAGACCCCCCCATTAAGTCCCGCCCGATATCAGAATGGACGTGTCGGAGTCGCGTCGGTGCGTCTCGGCGCTGCCTCGGCGCATCTGGGAACGTCATGCGGGGGCGGATCGGAATCATCAGCGCATATTGAGACGTTGGCGTCATCGAGGACGCCTACGGTGAATCACCGCCGCCCCCTGCCTCTTTGGAAGCGCCTGCGTGGCCGAACGATGGGTTTGAGCTTGGCCACGCTATCGGGCCACGCGTTCCCCGAGTGGCTTTCGAAAGCTTTCGGGGAGCACGGAGTCGGGCAAGCTATCGGACCAGGTGGTTTCCGAGCTTTCGGGTTTCCTGGAGGACGTCTTGGACTTGGAGGGCTCTTGGGCCGTCTTGGAGGCCTCTTGTGGGCCTTTTGGGCATTCTAAGACCATCTTGAGGCCATATGGGGCCATCTTGGGTGCATCTTGGGGCCATCTTCGCTGTCTTGGAGGCCTTCGTGGCCGTCTTGGAGGCATCTTGGAGGCCATCTTGGCCGTCTTGGAGGCCATCTTCGGCGTCTTCGGGGCCATATTGCCATATTGGGCCGTGTTGGGCTCTTCTTGGGGCCCTCTTGGGCTGTCATGGCGCCATCTTGGAGGCCTCTTGGGCGCTCTTGAAACGATGTTGGGGGCCTCTTGGGCCGTCGGAGAGCTGATAAGAAGAAACAAATGTCAAAGTCGTTCAAAAACCTAAGGACTATCAATGCTGTTTGCCCTTTCGGGCCTACCTGGAGGACGTCTTGGAGGCCTCTTGGAGGCCTCTTGGCCAGTCGTAGGCCATCTTGGGCCGTCTTGGAGGCTTCTTGGACGAACTTGAGGGCATCTTGGACTCTCTCGGGCTGCCTTGGAAGCCATCTTGGACTATGTTTGGCGACTTGGACGCCATCTTGGGCCATCTTGGAGACTATCTCGGGTCAACGTGACCATCTTAGAGGCCATCTTGAGCCGTTTTGGAGAATTGTTTGCGGTCGTTGAGGTGATTGTTGGGCCTTTCCGGGACCCCGGCGGGATCGGCGGGTTCTTTGGGAAAAGAACCAAAACCAAAATCGAAAGGATCTAGCACGCCGGGCACCCCTGTGGTAAGCCAACAGGGGGCGGCCGATCCTAGTGGCTTTTGGCCCATCCCACCACCGTGCCTGGATTGTAGGTCTGAGGCCTCTTGTATACGTGTTGGGGTGTCGTGGGGATCCTCTCGGGGGCCTCTTGGAGGCGGTTTGGGCGCCTCTTGGGGGCCTCTTGGTGCTTGGGCCATCTTGGAGCCCTCTCGGGCCGTCTGGAGGCCCTCTTGGAGGCGTCTTTGGCTGTCTTGGGGCGGTCTTGGCAGTTTCTTGAGCCATCTTGGAACGTCGGAAAGCCGAAAATGCGAGAACCCCCGGATCCGCAACAACTTTTTGTTAAGTCGACAGTGTTGGCCTCTTGTGGCTTTCTTGAGAGGCATCTTGGAGCGCTCTTGGGGCCTCTTGCGGCCCTCTTGGGCCGTCTTGGAACCATCTTCGGGCGCCTTGGAGCACAATTGGCCTCGGCAATGCAAATACAGTCGGGGCCCTGAAGAAGGAACCCTTTTCGTTGGGGAGGGGCTCGGTGTTCCTGGATTGTTTCGCAGCTTGCCTCAGGTTTTCTTTATGTTCTCGATCGGAAATCGAAGTTTAACTGATGGAAAAAAAAGGGGCCTCGTTCCTTACTTAGGGTTTCTTAGGTCAACGCCCCGACTGCATGGCGTAATTTGCCAGGGTTCATCGCCTCGCTGACGCACAGGTTGAACTATTGTCGAAGGTTTTGCCCTTCGGGGCACAAGAGTTGAACAATTCGCAAGGGTTTAACCGCATCAAGCAATGAAGAACCCCCCCCCGCTCCCTCCCCCCTCTCCGGCGAAAGTATAACGCACCCGGCACCCCAGAAGCGCTACTTTGGCACCTCGCATTGTTTATGTGAACGCTGACGAGTCTGCTCGCCGAAACAAGCAAACTGTATCATTATTCGTATTCGTGTTATGATTATTATTATCATTACTCTTGTCCTTCATATCATTACTCCCAGCTAAACAGAACAAAATCCTCCTGCTCCTCCTCAAGACTCCTTTACGGCACTGCACCAACACGAACAACGACAATACTGCCAGCAATAAGCGTAATATCTAGAACAACAAGGCCAATAACAGCAACACCAACAACACAGCCAACAACAACAACAATCACAACATTAAGTCCCACGCAAGGGAGAGCCCAGCTTTGAAAAGGAATCGCCCTTGCCTACGATGGTTGGCGAATAATTTTGGCGGTGCGGGTGCTAAGGTAACGCGTCGCGCGTGGCGGGTCGATATCCTCGGATGCACTACCCTAGACGACGGCCGGGAAACAACAATTTTTCAATAGTGGTGGTAATCAGAATCGTATAGGAGAAGGACGATGAAGAAAATAAAAAAAGGAGGGAGGTAGGACAGAAGCAGGGGAGCCCGTCTGTTTTTGGATGTGTATGTTGTTATATATATATATATTCTTGTTAGTTGTATCATTGTTGGTCTTATTGTACTTCTTGTCTTTTTGGGCAAGCTTTCGTAATTATTATGTGCGGGTGCGGTGCTAAGATAACGCGCCGTGCGTGGCGGGGGCGATATCCTCGGATGCACTACCCCACACGACGGCCGGGAAACAACAATTTTTCAGCAGGGGTGGTAATACCATTCGTATGGTGCAAGGATGATGAAGATAATGGCAAAAACGATAGTATGATTCTGTTCATTATTTCCTTAAGTATCATTCGCAGTATGAGTCTTATTACTGTTCTTCTGTTGATTATTGTTATTCGTCTTCTTATGAGTATTCGATTTTTTTCCTCTTAGCATGTTTTATTCATATTAATATCTGTCTTATTCGTATTGCGAGTATGTTTGGTACTATCATCACTCTCTGTAGTATTATCATTGTTGTTAGTATTCGTATTCTTATTTCTATCAGTATCATTAATATTATTCGTATTCGCATTTTCATTTTATGATTCTTATGATGATTAGAATTATTATTCGTATGTCACTCTTATTATTGTTATCATTCCAGTTCCAATTGGGATACCACCCGAGCCCGGGCGCGGGAATTATTGATGTTCGTTCCATTTGCACGGTTCTAATCATATCGTTCGGCGAAGCCGCCACCCATATTTATTCAATTACGGTGCGGTGCTAATGAGAACCCTGGGGGGTCCTTAACGGCTTGATGAGGTTATTGCCTCGGGGATGCGAATATGCTATAATTCGCAAATTGTTTCCTCGGGGATGCGAATACGTTGTAATGCACGAGGGCTTACTGCCTCGGGGACGCAACACGTAAGTAAGTTATGAGGTTTCGGCCTCGGGGATGCGAACATGGTTTAATCTACGAGGCATTACGGCCTCGGTGGCGCGTGTCTCAAGTATTTTTAAATTTTTACGTGTCCCACGCCCTCCCGGGAATTGAGGCAACCTGATTTGGGCGAGGTGAAATTGCTTCTTTGGGGCTCCCCCCCCTCGCACGGATTTCGACAGTTTCCAATAGGAAGCAGAAAGCAGGACTGCAACACGGGAGACTTGAAATTGGAACTGGCGCAGGGAGCAGCAACTTGATCCTAAGCTTGGTGGCCCGACAAGGGGGCCGGCGGACTCTCGTCCTGTTAATACGACTTTCTGAAGCGTTCCAGAACGCTCCGTGAGAGTTGTTCAACCACGCGCGGAGGTGGGGGAGGGGGGAAGGCGTCTTAGAAGCACCCCTGCTTCTTAGAAGGCACGGGCCTTGTCTATGGATGTGAGGCCGGCGCCTTCTAAGAAGCAGCCTCCTTCTAAGAAGGCCTCCCCCCCCTTCCATCCCCTTTTGCGCGCCGCCGAGTTGTGGAGTGCTCCAAGCCAGTCACGGCGCGCGTTTCTTTCTTCTGAATGTCCCGTGGTACTGGAGGTTTGCGTCGAGTCGACCGGCGGCGACCCCGCCGCCGGCATTCAATGTTGATTTTTTTGCTGGCGACCCAGAATCGGTCGATGTTTTGAACGATCCGACGTCTCGGAAACCGCCGATCGTTCAAGGTGGAGCAACCCCCGCGGTTTCATAAACCAACACCGGAGCCGGCACGGCACGAACTTGCCGTGACCTCATTTGGGCTTAGCTTCGCCCTGCCCTCGTCTCAGTAACTGCTCTCATTCTTCGGGTGCTGCCAAAGGTGTCCCTGGCCTGAGTTGTCCCCAGAGTTCCCGCACCACTCACCAGGCTTATGATGTTCCAACTGACTTTAGCCTTGATCACCAGAAAGAATTTCGAGTACCAAGAAAGCACCGAAACTGCAGTACAGTCCGGCCTGCAGTACGGTGGGAGCAACATGACACCAGGCCCAGATGGCCCCAGCTGGGGGCCCTCTGGTCCTCCTGGTGAGGGGTGCTCCGCAGTGGAGCGAACAGCTGGACACCCCTGGCAGCCCTGGCCTCGTGAGCCGGTTCCCTCTGTCCATTTCCTCGCGCCCCCGGGGGCCCCAGAACTGCACGAAGAGGTGGTCAGAGCCCCGAATCATAACTCGGGTCAGGGATAATTCGGGTTCGTTTTTCGGGAATCCAAACCCGAGTTACCCCGGACCCGAGTTACCCCGGATCACTCGGGCGTCCAGAGCCCCGAATCATCAGGGGTATTTCGGGTCGGGGAAAACTCGGGTTCCTTTTTTCGGGAATCCAAACCCGAGTTACCCCAGACCCGAGTTACCCCGGGTAACTCGGGCGCCCAAGCTGGACGCAGACCCTCGGCGGCCCAGACTGGCGCGACAGGCTGGGCATCTCTGGCGGCCGCCCGAGCTCAGCATCGTTGCACCGATCGCGCCGGTGGGAATGTCGTCGGCGGCCGGCCCCGGGGGCCAGTGAGAAGGAGGAGGCCTTCTCGGAAGGCTCGGAAGTCCCCCGGCCTCTGAGAAGTGTTTGCAAGTGTTCCCGGGAGACGCAGAAAACCTCAGGAGGCCAGCAGCTTTCTGAGAAGCCCCGCCGCCTGCCGAGGAGGCCTTCTCCTCTTCTCCTTCTCACCTTCCCTCCGGGCGCGCCGCCGAGAATAGGCGAATGATGGAGTGGAGGCGGGGGGGAGGGAGGCGAGGAGCGACGCGGGGCGCTGCGTACTCGAAGTGAGGGGGGAACAAAAATCGCGAGGCAGAGGGCGACGCCTTCTCAGAAGGACTCCTCCTTTTCGCCTCCCCCCCCTCGCTCGCCGCTGAGATAGGGATCGGCGAAACGATGCTCACGATCTAAGCCTCCTAGATGGGGTCGGAGTAGATGGGGTCGGAGGATCGCTCTGCATCCACGATGCATCGGCGATGCGGCTCGATGTGGAGCGCGATTTGCTTCACATCGACGACGGCGATGCATCGCTGACGTTGATGATGCATCGCTGACGTTGAGGATGCATCGCCAGTGCATCGCCAATGCATCGCCGATGCATCGCCGATGTATCGGCTATGCGGCGCGATCCTCCGACCCCATCTACTCCGACCCCATCTAGGAGGCTTATAGAAATAGGGATCGGTGAAACGATGCTCACGAGCTCTCCTGCCCCCATCGAAAAAGAATCAGCTGTATAAGCATCATTCTTTGGCGCCTCGCGCGGATTTCTTGGATTCGCGTTGGGCCTCCCTGGCGGCGCCTCCGGCGCTGCCCCTGGCGCGCTCCGCGCGCCAGGGCGGGGGGCCCGGTTCTGATCCAGGAAATCGAAGCGGACCGTCGACGGTTCACGTGCATGCCGTTTTTTCTCTTTTCCTATCGCTCGCCGCCGAGAGAGGGATCGGTCAAACGACGTTCGCGAGCTCTCCTGCCCCCGCAGGCGGCGCCCGCGCAGCCGCCCGCGGCGGCCACGGACCCGTACGGGCGGCCGCTGCCCGCGCTGCCCGCGGTGCCGCACGGGCAGCCCCCGCCGGGGGCGGACCCGCGCGGGGGTTACGGGCAGCCGCCGCCGGGCGGCGGGGCGCTCGGGGAGCTCCCCCCTCTCGGGGGCAACGACGAGGGGGGGAGAGAGATCGGGGGCCACAGGCGAACCCTACCCCTACCCCCCACGATTTCGAGCGAAGAGAACCCCACCCCTACCCCCTCCGGGGGGGTGGGGGGTAGGGGTAGGGTTCGCATGTGGCCCCCTAAGAGAGGCACCAGGCGGGGATGCATCGAAGAAGAGAAGAACGGCATAAACACAAACTTTAGGCGGTCCGCGCGGATGTTCTTGGATCCACGCTGGGCCCCCCTAGCGGCGCCTCCGGCGCCGCCCCTGGCGCGCTCCGCGCGCCAGGGAGGGGGGCTCAGCTAAGATCGAAGAAATCCGCGCGGAGCGCCAACAGTCTATGTTTATGTCGTTTTGCTCTTCTTCTATGGGCGGGGATGCATCGACCCCTGATCACCCATACACGCCGAAGGGGGGCCCGATAGCCCCACCCAGCCCAGGACCGTGCGGGTTCGCTCTCGGGAGCCCATCGCCGATCTGTCGGCGACGTATCCCTCGATTCCAGGTCGATGTGTCCCCCCCTGTGCCAGTTCCCCCCTATCGTTGCTCCCCATCCTCCTCTCGATACACTCGGGATGGGCACGTCGAAGATCTGAGGAGTAAATGGTGAACATAACGCTGCCCTTCACTCGTTTTCCCCTTCGTGGGCCTCCTGTGAGGCCCCCATCGCCACCGCTGGATTCGCCCAGAGATTCTGGTCAGGACGCGCATCCCCGGAGAGGTCAGGAGATTAGCAGTATCATTACCTGTCGGTTTCCTCACAAGAGGAGGAGGAGGAGGAGGAGGAGGAGGAGGAGGAGGGGGAGGAGGAGGAGGAGGAGGAGGAGGTGGAGGAGGAGGAGGAGGAGGAGGAGGAGGAGGGGGGAAGAGGAGGAGGAGGAGGAGGAGGAGGAGGAGGAGGAGGAGGAGGAGGAAGAGGGGCCTCAGGCCCTCCCACAGGAGGAGGGAGGGACATGAGGGCGGAGCGCCACGTGCAGGAAGACTCGGAGGAGGAACCACTGCCGGTACTTGCCGCTCCCCCCGGCCTCGCGTTCCCCGTGGTGGGCCTCCCGGGCAGGTCCTCGTTGCCACGGCGGGCTTCGCCTGGAGGCTCGGCTCAGGACGCGCCTCGGGAGCGGTCTGGTTCGATGCTCGTTTTGGGGACCTTCCTGGGGGCCACCTAATGGATCTGTTCGACTCAGGTTCGACTCAAGTTCGACTCAGGTTCGACTCAGGTTCGACTCAGATTCGACTCAGGTTCGACTCGTCTTCGACTCAGGTTCGACTCAGGTTCGACGCAGCTTCGACGCACGAGTGGAGCGAGTGGCTCCAGGAAGGTCCCCAGAATGAGCATCTAAGTCGTCATAGGGGCTTGCAGCGTAGGGGCTTGCAGCTGTCGTTGAATCATCCGTTGGTGGTGTGCCCGCGTCGGCCAGCCTTGCCCGGGTTCGCCCAGTTCCGTGGTTCGACGATCCCCAGGAAGTGTGTTAATCCAATGTGGGTGTTGCTTACTCCGTTCAGCTCCACCGATCGATCTTTACATCGCCTGCGTCGTGGCGACGGGTCTCGATGGACAAACAGACGTTGGCGCTAAGACACCTTCCGAGGATAATCGAGTAGTGGTGTTCCTCAAATTGGTTTGCCAATCGAGTTCTCCTTTGTGTTTGAGCAGCCGGTGGGTGCTGGGCCTGCTTCCGACGGCCTTTCCCAGGGGTCCCCTTGGCAGTGCTCCCGTATCGTTTTTGACGAGGCCTTGCCCAGGGTCTTTGGGTAGTGCCAAGCAGAACAAAGCAATGGGAAGCACCGCGAGCAGTGCAAAGCAACGTCAACCCATGCCAAGTAACGCCACGCAATGCGAAGCAATGCCGAGAAATGCAACGCAATGCCAAGCAGTGCCAAGCAACGTCAAGCAATGTCATGCAATGCCAAGCAATCCTAAGACATGCCACGCAATGCCCACCAATGCCAAGGAACGCTGAGCTATGCCAAGCAACGCCAAGGCACTCCAAGGAATGCCGAGCAATGCCAGGCAGTACCAATCAACGCACTGTAAGCCAATGGTCATCAAACCAATGCCAAGCCACGCAAGGCACTGCAACGCAACGCAACGCAGTGCCAAACAAGCCGTTCCTTGCTGTGATATTTCTCCAGCTGCCTGCGGCAGACCCCACCACCGTGCCCGTGCAACAGCGTAGCAGGAAGGAGTTCGGAGTATTGACGCTTCGCGTACCCCCACCATTCTCTGAGGTCAGGTGCCCCCTGGCCTGCTCTTGGCTGGTGTCGGCCCCTACTGATGACCGGAAGGTTCCAGTGGGTCTCTCGCTACACTGCCTACCTTACGGTACCTGGACCTCGGGTTCGGCAAGTGTGGCTCTGTACGCTCGTTGACGTTCTCCTGCATGGACTTCGCTTTCGACGAGTGTTACAGGTTTTACTGCCGTTTGCAGTCTTGTCGGTGATGAGGTTGCCCCTCTCCACTCTTGCGCCGACACGATGTTTTGACATTTGTGTCACCTACGGCACGGATGTCGTCCTGGTGTGCCTGTCGGTCTAGTTCGTTTCTGACGGTGCTGTTCGTCTGACTCACACCGAGCGGTCGACCTCGGCGTGTTTATGGTTGCGCCGCCGCTGTGTTGGCTGCGCTTTCTTGCTGGTCGCCACCGGGATTTCCACGCCACCAGGTTTGGGAGTATCGGTTT